GTTGATTTCAATCATTTATTTCGTTTTCCGATAGAACATATGACATCAGCTCAATAACAATTTTTAAAAAATCAGATTTTCGACCAACTCGGGTTTCGTAAAACCTTTTACCTAACCCAGACCCCAAAAATGGTATTTTAGACAATCCCAACCCACTGAGGGCCTCTTTAATCTAATCGGACACGGAGATGATCCTTCAAACTATCCTAGCCCAAATAAGAGTTCTTAAATCAATCCAGATCAGAAAAGGACCCATTTGACCAAAACTCAGACCCAAGAGGGATCCATTGATCTAAATCGAGTCCAATGAGGACTTTTTGACCTGAACTCGGATCCAAAAAGGATCCATTCTCTGATTGAGACCATTAACTGAAACCCGACCCCATCGAGAGCCCACTAAATTTACCCAGACCAGTTAAGGTCCAGTAAACAAATCTAGCCCATAAGGGCCCACTAAATTTATCTAGACCAGTTAAGATTTATTAAACTAAACTAGGCAATCGGGTTTTCCTTTGGGTCGACGCTCGATTTGGAAAAAAACTCTCTCGATCTTCGGCTCAAGGGTTAGACTGAAGGCCTAAACCCATGCTCGTATGGCATGCCCCGCACTCGAGCATGCCAAATAGGCCTAGTCGCATGGCAAACTGCACATGTAGCGTGCCACAGGCAAGCTATCCTGACAGTTTAGCCCGTTGGGATAGGTCTTTCATGCCCACCATGCGTGCGGACACTCAGTCACGCGACACAGACACATACCTGCAAGCCTCTCGGCATCCTAGCATGCCTAACAAGACTGCATGCGCGCGCAGCCCCTCGTGCATGTGCCTCTGCGCACAAGCACCTGCACACAGCACCTCGGCACAGTGGTGCCTTCACCAACCCAATCTACTTCTGCCATTTCACTCGTGGGTTTCCCTTTATTTTAACTCAAATTATCAACATGCATTCAAAATTTCATATCATACATTCACAAAATCAGAAGCAAACATCAATGAAATATCATACATTTCAGAAGCGACATGTAAAGTTGATTTAAACATTTTAAAGTTTTTAAAATCATAAAAACATACATTTGAAGCATGAAGAGATATATTAAACCCCTTACTCTACTTGAAGAGTCCTCGAGTCCAAGAAAAGAAGAAGTTGTTTGCGGTTGTTCAAAGGGAAAAGCTCGCTCCAGCAGCAAGTGCGACAGTGTTGCAGAAGTTGTCTGGATTACAAAAGGAGGTTTTGCAGACAAGAAAAAAGGAGAAGAAAATGAAGTTTCACAAGTGAGTTGCTTGACACCTAAAGGAAAGAATAAGACCAGAGAGGGAAGAAGAAAACTCACCGTGTAAACGTGAAAACAAA